CGGAAGAAGAACGAAAGAAAAAGGATAAGAGACTAAAGATCGAGCGACAGCATATACTCATAGCACAACAATGGCGAACACAATGAGTAATTAGTATCAGAGTTATCCATAGATTTTCCGCGTAGAATTGGCGACCTTGAACGCCAATGCCGATAATTATCGGCCTGACCGGAGTGATTAAAGAACATTACTGTCTTCCGTGAAAATCACAATGTGTACTTTCATAATGGACTTATGAAATTATGCAAAAAGTTTTTGCGTCTGAATAATGATCGACGAATACGTTCATTAATAGTTCCTAATTACCCGAACGTTTCAACTGAACCGTAAAAGTAGAGTGAAAAAAAGGTAGAATTATCGGTTGCCTTGGGTTTGTAGGTGTGTTCAAAGAAATTAATTAATTATGCACATTTTATACCCTTTTTTCGTGTAAATAAACGCGAGAAACTTGTGCACCTAATGATAATTGGCAACTACTACCTTTAACCTTTTTTTCCGGTCCTACAATATATTAATTACAAATACAAGAATAGGTCAATTAGTATTACAAGGTAATATAAGTAATTAATACCATTTGCAATCATTAAGATGAATAAATGGGTTTTTCATTCTTTAATCTTCTATCTCACTTTCGCTAATACACGATTAACTTGTCAGATTGCAATAAGAATTTGTCACAAAAATATTTGAAAACGTTACTTTTCAAAAGCGACGATTACGAATTCCTATTTTATTAACCAATATTTCATTCGTTATTTAAAACCTGAAATCTTTAAAAAAGAGTTCAATAACAAAGCTTCATTGATTTTACGAACGTTAATCCCATGGATAATGAGTTTAAATTGTTAACATTTCCACAAACTTCGTTTGTATCAAAATTCACCTCGATTCAAATTTTCAGATAAATATTGCAAAGAAAGTGCACTCCAACGCTTGGAACAATTTGCCTTATTAATTTATTATACATTACCTGTCAGGATGTTACAATTGATTCCGCGCCGGCCGTTTCTTGCGAAATTTAAAGCTCACGTGCAAATGGAAAGGAGGAAGAAAAAAAAATCACGATGGTTTATCAGTTTTATTGCCATAGCTTATTCCGAAAATCAGGGACAAACTGAATTTATGAGAGCGAGTTAATTCCAGTGATGAAGTTATCTCCTGCATTGGAGGGACTGTGACTTCCGGTTCGAACCGGAGGATCGCCTTTGCCATACTTCCCGCTCCGCGTTAATAAACGCGCGCGTAGTAAGTACTCGTAAATAACGACGAGATCAATTAATGTCTTCCTCTACGTGAACGTTGCGAAACTTTGCCGTCTGTAATCAAATACAATGTCTTTGACAGATTCCTTTTTCTCCTTACTGAATCCCATTCCTGTGCAACAGAAGAGTATAGATCAAGAATGCTTCAAGCATTTCTAACATGTTCAACGTGTCGACTTATGACTATTTACATAGTAGGATTCACATTCTACGGGCACTGTAAAAAAATAAAGAGATTCCGTTCGTTTGCACTTACTCAACTTGTTAAATAGATATTAACGTTTAATCCAGCACTGTTACGCCGACGTAAGTTGCCGAATGCAATCGCTATCAGTCGCACTTACCTACATCCACATAAGTTCGTAATTCAACTTCGTTTATGCAATAATGTGCACTGACTTCAGGATGCGGTGGGTATTCGAGTTAAAAGCGATCTACGCACTTCATACTCAGCAATTATGTGCGATTAAGCGTAAGTATTTCATCAGCATCAGCTTGACGCTAGAACTGTAACATGAGTTTTTGAAACCCACGGGTTGGCCGTCGAATAATTATTCAAATGACTGGTCTTATCTGTCATATGATCTAATGTCGAAGTTCGTGCGACGCGCGTGTGACTGAACGAAACTTTTACTGGGAACATTGGTTTCACGCGTTTAGCCTGTTAATTGTGTTAACATTAATATTGGCACATACATGCACATTTGATTTTAGTTTAACATTAACGTCCATCGAACGGACATTTCTTTTTTTTAAATATTTTCCATAACTATCTCTGTCCGTCTTCGTATCGTTCGATTCGTGTCAATTTGAACAAAATAAACTGTAGTCAAATGGAAACTAAAATCATCTTTGTCTGCTCTCAAAAAAATTCGGTCCTGAACAGATTAAGATGACATATATACTCATCGAATGGTTAATATCTAACAATGTTCTCGATTTATTCTGTGGCGCCGTACGAGAAACAAGAATAGGTGCACGTTTATCTGGTGATTCTCTTTCCTTCAAGGGTATCAAGTTTCTGCGGAAACGTAAGTATCTTTGCCGCATGGAATTTCCGAGTCTCCGTATTCGGTGTCTCTAATGGAATCCATTACTCATTGCGATCGATCGACGGGGGTTGCTTTGTTCGCGGGATTCGAAAGCTATTAATCGATGGTAATCGAACGAATTGGGTCAATCTTGTTTTGCGAAAATTTGTAAAGCACTTGTTGATTCGTGCCTTACACGAGCTCACGCGTAAACGTTCGATGCTAGAACTTCCGAGTGTCAACTAACAATCTCGAAGTGCTGCAATGTGTTTCAGTTAATCTTCGAATAATTGCTCATTAAATTTGTGGAGAGCACTGCATAATAATTAGATTGCGAACACATATTTGTGTACGGGTTGTCTTGTAATTGATGGTACAATCTAAAGGAGGTACACTCTATGAAGAGAGTTAAGTTAAAAATTTAAATTACAATTTCTTCGTTTCATCTATCTTGTTTAAGAAGATTGGGTTTGTTCATTTTTGGAGTACACACGTGAATATTTGACTAAGTTGATTTAGACCGAATATAAGCCTGTGGATATTATTTTATGTGAAAAAATAAGTAAAAAGTTTATTATAAATTGTATAAAATTTGATGGATTTAAATATGGTTTGAACATTGAAATTTGTCTTTGGCTGGCGAACTGGTGCTTTGACTCTGTAACAGATTATCCACCTCCACCGTTACGACATTTAATTTGTTACTAAAGAAAGAAACTGTGAATAAGATCTTTTGTTCTAAAAATACGAAAGAATAGTTGATCTATAAACATTGAATGGAAAAGTGTAAAGAATATTTGTTTACATTCATGATGTATAATTGGACTAGTAACAATGAGACGATATTATTCATAAAATGCTAAATAGCAGTTCCAGATAACCGATGATTAGCAATTACATGTGAAGTATTTTAATCGTTATCCAGAAATGTGTAGTAGCTACAGCCCTTATTTATGTAATCCTCATTAATTCGGTTCACAGATTAATCACTAGATATTGATGACTGGAATGTGTGATTATTTCCTCATATGAATTAATTCAGTGAGATAGAGTATGTAGTGTTAAATTCTAAGTGTATTTGTAAACTTTTGTCCATAAATTTTGGCACATCTATGTAAAATAATTCATTCTAATTTTATTATAATGAACATTATATCGTTACATAACAGACTAATTTTAATCCGACTATTAAGAGTTCAAACGATATAAAAGGCTATTAGTATTGTCAGTAATGTTTATGATTAGCACCTTATTAAAATGGTTGAAACCAGTTATACGCACATAAATTGTAAGTGACACTCACAAAAAATGAAAGCATTATAAACTTATTCATGAAAATGAATGTACAAGTTTACAAAGGTATATAAAATTTAAAATTACTGAAATATGTGACTACATTGTTAATAATAAAATAATTTCACCTCTGTGTATTCAAAATGTTTTCTTGTGTCTCCATTCTAAAGCACTCAGAAATTTATTATTAATACATTAATCATTCATTTCGACGAATGAAGAATAATCATAGTTGCTTTACATACAATTCTTATATTCTCAATCCTGGCGGAAATTCAAATAGAAATCATGTCTCATCGAAGTAATAACTAGACCGCAATCTTTTGTCCATGTACTGCAAGTACGAATTCGCAAAATACACGAAACCATTTACATTAACAACATTAATAACGCTTTCACTTCATCTTCAGTAGAAAAAACTTCTTACATAGTGAGATAAATTTTACTTTATATTCATTCTTATGAAAAATATGATCATTAACAAGTAAAATTCCTGAGTGCATAACATTTAACCCCTTGTCTTATTATTCATTGGTCATTAAGCTTACAAGAGTTACATAACTTTCAATGATATTCCAACAAAATACAAATTATACATCGTCGAAGTAACTTTTTTAATTATACCACTAAATGAAACATATTTTCCAAAACTCGAATATTCATAATATTAACGCTGTTATTCCATCTATATTCCATCTATATTAATGCTAAAACTACCTTACCAATCAAAATGACTGGTTTTGGTTTTTTTGTTTCGCAATTATTGTTATCTTCAAAGTTATCTTAAAAAAAATTAGTAGTTTCACTTGAATACTATAATAAATGTCTGATGAAACCAAGAACAAGCTATTTTTACAATCTGTATGGATTACATATCAATCATACTAACTGTTCATTAGTTCCAATGTCAATTAACTTCACAAAATCCTTACAAGTTCATTCAATGTCACAGAACGAAGCGTTAACAAATCATTTTCACAATCACAACACTTTTCCCACGAAAGATCCACCTTAAGGGAACAACTACAAGAAACAACCCAATTCCAAGTGTCCAAACGCCACGGTGCATTCTCACTGAAATTGAGCCGCAGGCTGATCTGACATCAAACACTGGCCCCGAGTGCACTCACCTCGGTGTCAGGCCTTTCGTGACGCAGGAACAAAAGTCCCCAACGAAAACGATGGGAAAAGAAAAGCAGGATCGAGAGACGCGACGCGGCGCGTCATGAGGAAACCCGTGGTGGCGAGGTGGGGTTTCGCTCCGCGAGATTCCCCGTCCGCGGAGTTCTCCAGTGACGTCACGCGGACGATCCTCGGGGCCCCAAACGCGTCGTCCAATGGCGGCGCTGCGCGGCTGGTGGGGCACCGCTTTCGTCTGCACGCGCTATAAAGCCTCACTAATTGCCCACGCCGCGAACAGTCCGTGCGTGCCCCTTTTTAAACGACGATGTAGTGGCGGCGTCCCGAAAAATTCCCGGGGATCTCGTGCGTACACGTCGGCCAAGATCATTGTCACGATCGTGATCGGTACACGTGTTTCGTGCCGCAGCCACACGAGACAGGAGTCGCTCGTCCGTTCGTCGGTGAAACCGGATTTCTCGGTATCTTCGGAGTTACCTGCAGCTCGCTACGCAGGGGATCTTCGTTCTTTCGCGGCCGAATTCTCGAATTTTCTCGGCGAACCTGTCGATCAATCGGAGTGAAAGAGTATCTTTGTGCGCTCACCCGGATTTTTATCATTCTTCCCTCGTTTCGTCAGCTTCCACGAACCAGCTGATCCCGGAGCCGGGATTATTGTGACGTGAATCGGAACACTGAGAAGGTAAATCAAGGATACGAACGTGATATTGACGTGCATTCGTTTTCTTGGATTTTGATCCCTCGTACAAAGTAGTGTTTCATATATAATGGAAGCATACCTTTTGCACGCTCGTTGGAAACACTGAATCAGTTGTTGCGATTTAATAGGCACGCGGCGTGGTGTTTCAGAGGTAATTTTAGTCTGCTGATTGCGAAGTGTATGGTTTGTTATCGGTATTCTTTTCTAACGCCTTTTTAACTGGAATCCTGTTACTGAGATTTTTTCACATGCAAGCTAATCGATTAGGAGTTTGCTCATTTTTCCTTGCTTCGGTGCATTATTCAAAGTATGCTTTAGATGTTGATGACTGAATCTAGATAACGCGACTATTAGGCACGTTCCGGTAGCTGAAGTGTTGAAGTATCTATTTCTTAACCCTCCGCTGGTAGTATGAGTTTTTATTTATGTAGCTGGGAATACGAACCTTTTATGTCTTGATTTTTCATTGCTGAGAGTTTTGTGGAAGTTTGACAGAGTTTTAAGATACTTATTATAGTTCCTAGTTTAATATATAAATAATATGTTAACTAGATTTTCATATGATTTTGCAGTAAATATTGAAAATCTTGGTGAAGTTATGAAGAGATAAGATCTTCGACACGGTGAGATAAGATCTGTAATAAATCTTCGATTATAGATTTAAACTTTAGTAATGTTATATTCTTTCTAAATGATAAATGCAAATGAAATACAAATGGAAACTATATAATTGCACCACTGTTGAATGCGTCATTGATAGTGCATCTGTATTTTCCCTTCAATGATAACAAACCTGAAAGTTTTCTATATTTAAGGTATATGTGAATGAACATTGCAAATTAAATTATCAATTTGCATTATAATCTATGATCTTACAGATTTTATTTAATGATGTTTCCCGAGCTGATTTGTTTTTTCATTGCTGCGATTACCGTTGCATTTGAAAAATTCATTACAAAACCCTCGTGTTAATCATTTTTTAAAACACTATCAAATATTTGCTCATATAGAAAGCATCAATATACTTTGGTAGTTTCGCTAAAGTGAAATGAAATATCTTTTGGATCTATTAAAGTAAATGGTTTCAAACGACGCACTTATTATTGTATAAAAATAATATCATAAACTCTACAAAAAAATACAATAAATTCAAATAAAATAATAGGCATTTATAAATCGATTCACATATGGATACAGAAAAGCGACGAAACCTTCTCATTGAACCAATAATTTAATGAAAACCACTGTAGAGAAAGTGTACTATCGTTTAATTTCCTTTTTGTTAAAATAAAAGGAAATAATT